AATAAGCAGCATTACTGGATTCAAATGGGACATTAGACTGGGACTTTATTTACCCGAGCAATGAAAGGCCTTGAGAAACCTGGACACCAAAACAATCGGGAGTTCACATGTTGCCGAATAAGACAGACTGTTTTTACTCGAAGTGTTACAGTCGGAAAGGGCCCGCCAGCCATATTTTATGTTCGGCTCATAAGAAATTAACTTGTGTGTAGTATGGGAGTCATAGACCAGGGGTAGACAATGCTGTGCCATTTTTCAACCATGATTGATGTGAGGCCATGATTGGGATGGCCTCAACGGGAGGAATGTTGAGGATTATATTTCAATATTTCTCATTATATTCAGGCGCATTTCTTCAAATTATAATGAATGTCCACCAAAGACTGCTCTTGTCTCCCTTCATAAAAAATTTTTCTTTGATCTAATCATTGGACAAAAATGTATATTTGTGTATGCAACCTATTAAGTCAATTAGACAGGGTAATTGATAAATTAAAAACCTGCATACAAACCGGCCTTCCAGGACCGGAATTGTCCACCCCTGCTCTACCCCCTAAATCTGACGTCATCGGTAGTGCGAGCAGTGCGAGTAGTAAGTTAGTGCGCGGTTTTGAACACGGCCATACAGCAATGTTCCTGTAAAGCTGCTTTTGTTGAGGATTATATTTCAATATTTCTCATCATATTCATCAGTAGATCAATTGCTATGTTGAATAACCACAATCAATAATCATAATCAGTATCCATATTATGTATGCAGCAGTAACACACACACACACGCACACACACATACACATACAAGCAGTTCACACAACATGAGCAGCGCACACAGACACATGCACAGGCACAGGTAACACACGTACACACGCACACACACACACACACACACACACACACACATACAAGCAGTTCACAAATAGTCACTCACACATGCAAGCAATTCAATTCACACATGCATGAGCAGCTCACACACAGACACACACACACATACAAGCAGTTCACACACAGACACACACACATACAAGCAGTTCACACACAGTCACACACACATACAAGCAATTCAATTCACACATGCATGAGCAGCTCACACACACATAAGCAGCAGGCTTCTGTAGCTTTGATTAGTAAGCAGGCTTCTGTTTAGTTGATTCAAAAACATAATCAGGTGATGTATTTGATTTCTGTAGCTTTGATTAATATTTGTTCAGTAAAATCATAAGTTGGTGCTGAAAACATAATCAATTGAATCATTTATGTATCTACTTGTATCCTATTCATCTGGCTGTATTTTTCCTCTCTTGACTGTAATTTTCCTCTCCTTTTAAGTGATGTGCATCCTTATCTTTGCTTGAAGTTCTCAAGGTTAGTGGGCAGTGTTTTGGTTTGCCTGTCCTGTTGTAGCGTGAGACTGAGAATGCGGAAAGACCATATTTGGAAGATATTTCCTGTGATGAAGGTATAAAAACTGGGTGTGATAAGCCAAGATGTGAGTTCTTCTTGCGCAAAAAGAACTCTGCTTTATATTTATCAATATGCCACAATAAAGCCTAATTGTCTGAAGAATCTGTCTCTCTCCAATTGCTTGGGGATGGGGGAACCTCATGATATGAAAATATGTCTGAATGAAAACCACAACACTTTCACACCGGACGCGAAACTAATTTTTTGCACGACAGATTACATTCAAAGTCAATGCAAAGACGCGAATACATGCGAAACGCGTGTATTCGCGTCTTTGCATTGACTTTGAATGTAATCTGTCATGCGAAAAATTTGTTTCGCGTCCGGTATGAAAGCAGTTTAAGTGTCCGGTTTGTTTACATGATGCTCAGGCGCGTCCGCTTACATCACAGGAATATCCAACGCATTTTCTGACGCAACCATGTTCAGAAAATTCTGGTGTAGGGTCCGAAATCTCCTTTGGTCATTCCCTATGTAGTGCACCATTTCATATACATGATGTAGGGAATAGGGAGTGAGTGTATGAGTGGACGATTTCGAACACAGCTTATGTGGAAAACGTGGTCACAGCATTTTCGGTGGGCAACTACCAGAAGTCCCCTCCTTTTTTGGGGCCAAACGGGGGGGCGTACGCACCCCACGCCCCCGGATCCGCCACTGAAAATGACCCTTAAAAGTGCTTGAAAAGTGCTTTAATTTGACCTTGAAAAATGTGTACAAACCCTGATTCATTTTTGTCCAAAGCAGGGCTTGAGACGCGCAACTGGATCGCCAACTTTGATTACATGTGTTTGCAATGGCTTACCCGTAGAAGAGAACCGTAATTTGGTATTTGTTCCAGATTTTTCTTAATCGCAGCACTTTTCCCAAGGCCCAACTCATGACATACATTGATATTACCTTAGGCTAATTAGGTACGGATCACTTTTGTGGAAATTTCATTGTCTGAGAGCGTGAGGAAAAAAAGCCGCTCCATGTTAAGTCATGCTGCTAATATTTCGCCTAACTGAATGCCAAGTGTAATGTTGGTTTAATAAGTAATCTAACTAGTCAGAAACAGATAGTTACTAAAAGTGAAAACTTGCTAGCTACCTTAAGTTAGTTTTTACCGGAAAATAATGTCAACGAATGTTAATTAAACATGTTCGCTAGTTTCAACTAGCGAACTAAACCTGGTTTCTGTCACATGTTGGTTCGGGTGGCAAACAGCAGTAAATATAAACCAGGTGGATATGTCAAATTATGAGGTGAATTTCAGTGGAGAAATCCCGCGAAGGTGCCATTATGAATTATTTATTTTATATGCCGGAACCACGGCAGCAAGCTGTTGAGGATACAGGTGTATCAGGGCTTCAGGTGAGGTCATAATTATGACTTGTTCTTTATTATATGGAACCAAGCAGCAAGCTGTTGAGGATGCAGGTGTATCAGGGCTTCAGGTGAGGTCATAATTATGACTTGTTCTGTGGAATTATTGGAAAAGCAATAAAGTTAGTCTCATGATGTTCAGCAAATATAACCATTGAAAGTCAAAATGTCCCAACCAACTTTGGCTCAGTGGAGGAAATGAAAGAAACACGTAATCGTAAATCTAACATGATCCAGTCCGATTAACGCTGCATACTTCTCTTCTCAGGAATACATGCCCTTTTGGTAAACAGCACTTATCACTTTTCCATACACAATACCTCACACCTCCAAAAAAAACCCCATTTATTTCTTGCTTATAAAAAGACATGATAGGTAGTACTTTGACTGCTTCTTGCTATAAGAATTAGTCTGGGAAAGACTCTTCAACTGTATCTGCAAAAGGCTTTGGAAGATATTCTTCATTTTATTATTTAATTTCAATTACTGTGAATACCATCTGTCTCTCCTGGTTGTCGGAAAGCCACCATGACCTTCTTCACATTGTCTGCATTCATCTGTATTGCTGTTCTTTCCTGCATATCTTGTGAGTTTTTTTTCCTTATTTTTAATTTAATTTGTTTTTAATCGATCATTACCAACTGATAAGTCTTATTTCACATTAAGTCAGAATTAAAGAGAACAATGTCATTGTACTTTAAAGCTATTATGGTGATGATGATTACTATTCTTCTTCTTCTTCTTCTTCTTATCATTGTTATTATTATTGGTTGTTCTTTAACTAAAATCAGTAATAGGAAAGAAATTTACCCTTCTTGTTATTAATCAGTTGATATTTGAGAAACACATGAAACCAAGTCGTTAAATGGACAATGTATCCCTTTGTATCTGAAACAGCAGAGACAGAGTATTGTCAGGGTTCTTGCCCTGAAGGATGGGTGTCCAACAACATGCGCTGCTTCAAGTACTTCCTCGAAGAAACAACCTGGATTAATGCCGAGGTAACATCTCAAAGGGATATTTTGCTTTCTGCAGTTACAAGCCATTTTTTTTCTTGATTAGATTTTGCTTTCTGCAGTTACAAGCCATTTTTTTCTTGATTAGGGATTTCTCATTTAGAATTATGTAACCTCTTCTTTACATGATGTCCAAAATAGCTATATATGGCATGCTTGTGGATCTGTAGTACTTATTGGGCTAAATTGCAAATAAATGCATTCATAGAAGCAGGCAATGTATCTCTAAATGAACAAAATAAGACCGAGTTGATTCAATGGGCTGCTAATTGACAGTATAGGGCACAGCAAACTAAAACATTAACCGCTACTCTGCTAACTCAAAAAGTTAATTGCGATTACGCTAAACCAATAAACTGCTAAAAAATTTGTGGAAGCTAACAATAACCGATAACTTTTATTATATAAATTTAGTTTTGGTCTGTGTTTTGGCCTTAAAACCTTGAAAGAATTATAAAACCGACGGCAAACTCACACTGTCAAATAAAGTACATAATGTCTACCATCCAAAACTAAAGCCATTATTTTTTTATTTTTTATAATGTGTTATTTGTGATCAAACGTTGCATAATTCCAGAGACTTCAAAATCTGCTATTGCCGCCATAGAAAAAAATGGACCAATCAAACAATAGGAAATATTTTGCCCAGACCGATGTGTGACCAAATGAGAGCTGGACATGTTTTCTGAGTGAAATCACAGTAAAAATACCGAAAGTTGAGTTGATGATTAAAGGGGCTGTGTTACGATGACTGCGCATGCTCAGAATCTCAAAAATTCTTTGCATATGCAAGTCAATCTGCTCGACTGCTAATCAAAATCTGATTCCATCCTAGCCAATCCACCTTTGTTTTACATTGTATTTATATATTTTAGTTACTCAGGCATAATACATCGTATATGAGGGAGTTTAAGATTTAAGATATGCTTTATTGTACCCCTTGGGGTAATTTGTCCTCTGCATTTAACCCATCCTATAGTTAGGAGCAGTGGGCAGCCACAGAGCAGCGCCCGGGGACCAACTCCAGTTCTAAATCCAGTTCCTTGGTCAGGGGTACTGGTAGGAGTGTTCCTATAAAGCATGTTTTTTTCTAGGTGCAAGAAACCGGAGTATACGGAGGAAACCCACACAGACATGCAAACACCACACACAGAAAGGCCCAAACCGGGATTTGAACCCACAACCTTTTTGCTGTGAGGGGACAGTGCTAACCACTGCTCCACTGTGCCATGAATATTCGAGGATGTGAGCTGGTTCGCCCACTGTCAATAAACATAGAAGAAGAATACCGTCTTCTATGATTAATACGGTTGGCAAACAGCAGTAGCGGTCCATCAGTAGTATGAAAGGCTTTTGGAAACCTTACCTTTTAATACTTTCAATAACCTAAACCTCTTCCAGTTTACTTTTCCCCAATTAGTAACAGTTGCTCAGACTGATTGCTTGAATGACAGTCAAATTTATTTTCGATAGCATTGTTTTAAATTATATAAATGCTGACTGAAAAGTTATTAGTATTCATTAATGTAACCTGCTTACGAGAATGACTTTTAACAAAACCAGATGAATGTAAAATAGAAATTCAAATTGTGTTATCTTATTAACTAAAACCAAAATGTTCTGAACAGATTTATTTATTTTAACCATTTCTTGCTAGCTAGTGAACGTTAGAATTGAACATACTCAGCAAGTTATGATCAGGCCAGTAAAGTTAATAAATTCTAATCACACTTTTTTCGTCAGCTAAGATTACCTCAGTATAGGTTCTTTCTTTCTGTGGCAAAGAGACATAATTTGTGGCAGGAAATTATAACTATACTCTGTCAGAAGGGTGAAATGTGTCGAAGTCTAATGACTGTATAATTGAAATTGCCTTTTAATTGCAATTCTATATGGGCCCAATTCATTTGAAAATGCCATGGCTTTTTCCATGAAGAAACCCATGAAGACTAGGAGTGGCTCACTAATCAATATGACAGGTTTGGTAACAACAGTTGTCACACTAATAAACAATAACCTTTTCAGAAGCAGCCACCACATTTTCAAATGAATTACTCAGAGCTGTAATCAAAACTCAATTTCAAGTATAAAATCACTGGGCTGCATCACACCCCTCTGCCTGCGTATCGCTATAGTCTTCTACTTGAAGTTATGTTTCTATGCTGCAGAAAGAAAGCACAATAATCAACTGAGATTAACAGCCAACCACAAAGTGTGAATACAATTCATTTACACCACTTGCCAAACTTTTTATTTTTTTTTTGACACTCACTATTTAGGCTAGATAACAATAATCTGTTCAGAGCATTCATATTTTTGTGATTAAGCAGACTTATCATTAGTTGTTTTTTTACTTTATATTCAGCAGATTTTGTTAGGTGTCACTAGCTAGCTTATTGATATGCCAAATTAGCGCACTAAAAATCGACAAGCTGCGTATTGTTTGGTTACATTGATTTTAACTAGCTCAATTTACCGGGTTCAAATATTTTGAGCAATTACACTCATAGCAATTTATTTATAAAAATGGCTGGCTAGATAAATGAGTTGGCCAACAGTTATGCTGAGGATAAGGCAAGCATTTATGATGTAATTGCAGTATTCCGGGCATGGACAGTACAATCAATGGTTCAGAGACCGCAGGCTACCGCTGTCTCGAGCCAATTTCCTCGGTGCAAGGCCTGTAAGGAAAGCAAAATTTCACTGTCCCGAGAGACTCGTTGAGTGGCCCGGGCCAGTCCCCTAGTGGAGCAGAACAGTTACTGCACTCCTAGCTCAGTGGCCCGTGCCACAGGACAGTACAGTACACAACATGTTACAGCCTCTGCAGCTAATTGGTCCGCAAACAGTTTTCAAATTGAGCAGAAACACAAATCTGCCAAGGAAAAAGTTAGCTTTGCTAATTGGCGGATAGCATATTAATGGAACCATGCCACCACTAAGAATTGGTGAAAGTTTAAATGCCTGACAAACAATCATAAGCATCTGTCTGTTAATGAGCAATTAATTAAAAGACTAAATAAAGGACACTGAGGAAAATCTGCATTGTCCTGATGTTTTAGGAAGAAAAATTATTGATGACAACCAAGTCAGGAGGCAATTAATCTTTTTTTTTTTGTTGTTACCTCTTTTTAGCTTACTGGCCCTATGGGCCCTATTATCTTTTTTTTGGCCTAATGAATTTTCATGTAAATTTCCCATAACATACTACTAGACCATATCTCCAGACATTTTTTTTTTTTTTTTGATTGAATCATTTTTGTCCATTTTATGGGCCCTTGAAATTTTGGCCCCAATGTTAAAGATAGGACTGAGAAATTTTTAAAAAATCATTTCTGAAAAACCGCGTGATAAATTTTTTTCTAAATCAGGCAATCAACTCACCTTGGTACCGTCAATGTACAGTGCGAGGGCCATATTGATTGAATCGGCAGAAGTGGGTCTAGTGGGAGCGCTATGCAAGATGGCCTGTGGAGGCCAAATGGTTGCAGATAGAGATTAAGTTTGTATTCTCAACATATAGGAAGTCATATGACTTATATTTTGGATGTGTTATAGTTGACCTCAAATGACCTTGAAGGGTCAAACTTGTGGTCAAGCAAAATGTTACAATTTTCAAAGGCTTCTAGGCTTGAGAATATTGAAGATTGGGAATATATGTGTATTGAACACTTATAGGAACTCTTATATGAACTTTCATTTGGTGGCCTTTAACTTGACCTTTGGTGACCTTCGAAGGTCAAACTTTACATGGTGAAATTTCAATGACCTCTATCACCAAAACTAATACAGATGTATTGTGGGCATATAGGAAACCATGTATGAAGTTTTGTTTGGTGACATTGAACTTGACCTTCAGTGATCTTCAAACTTCACAGTGAAATTTCAATGACTTATATCAGCAAAAAAAAGAAAGTCACCGTTAATTTAAATAAAGTGTAAGTTTGTATTCATTTTAACCCTGACTGATGAAGCGTATCATTTCTTAAAAAATCATGTCGGAAGACACATCCCCTGATATGAACAGTTTTCATTTTGGCCTGTATTTAGCAAAGAAAACCATGAATGACAAAAAACAAGTATGAGGAATCATATTGACCTTATGAAGATCTCGGCAAAAAAATTTCTGAAAATGTTCTTTACATGGTGAAAATTCAATGACTTCTATCTTTAAAAAGGTCACAGATGGAGCCTAGGTTTGTGTTACTGACATCTAGTAGGTCACATATGAACTTTCATTTGGTGACATTCAACTTAACTGTTGGTGACCTTTCAAGGTCAAACTTGACATAATGCAATTACAATGACTTGTGTTGCCAAAACAGTCACAGATGGAGCCTAGGTTTGTATTAGAGACATATAAGAAGTCATATATGAACTTTCATTTGGTGACCTTCGTATTGACCTTCAAAGGTCAAATGTGACCTAGTGAAAATTCAATGACTTGTATCACTAAAATGGTCACAGATGGAGCCTAAGTTTGTGTAACTGACTTCTAGGAAGCCACATATGAACTTTCATTTTGTGACATTTAACTTGACTGTCAGTGACCAGAGGGTCAAACTCAACAGTGAAATTACAATGACTTGTATCACCAAAATGGTCACAGATTGAGCCAGGGTTTGTATAGAGACATTTAAAAAGTCATATATGAAGTCCATTTGCTGACCTCAACTTAACCCTGTGTACGGTGTACATTTTAGGACATCCTCACGTCTCAGAGTGAGGTATCAGGTGTCAGGGAAACCTCTGTCATTTGTCAGACAAAACGGCGTCATGTCTCAGACAAACCTCCGTCAAACCAAACGGTCTCAGGCTTCAAAATAAAAGTCATCAGACGAAACGGCGTCAGATAAAATGGCCTCAGATTAAACAGCTTCAGACGAAACGGCCTCAGATTAAACGGCTTAAAATGAAAATCATCAGACAAAACGGCAAAACTAAAAAACGGCCTCAGGTCAGGAAACACGACATGACATTTTATTTTGAAGGAACCGTAAGTATATGGTGGCTACCTAGCTAATGTTAGTTTGATTGCTTAGCTACCAAGTTCGCTAGCCTAGCTAGCCAACAGTTTGGTGCACGGATGTCAATAGAAAATAAATGAATAAAAAAACCATTATTTTGCTATCTCATTCAGCTAGAGTTGAACCGCGAGCATTTATTTCATACCAAATATAGCTGCTCCCTAGTCTCAATTTGCTTGCTTAGCTTGCTAGTTCGCTAGCCAACAGTTTGGTGCACAGAATTCAATAGAAAATAAATGAATAAAAATTATCCTTTATTTTGCTATCTCACTTAGCTACAGTTGAACCGCGATCATTTATGTTATACCAAATATAAGTGCTCGCTAGCTAGCTCGCTAACGTTAGTTCGCTTGTTTAGCTGGCAAGTTTGCTAGCCTAGCTGGCCAACAGTTTGGTGCACAGAATTCAATATAAAATATGTAGCCTGTATCAGCCACATATAATGTATTTGTTTGATTGATAAAATATAAGGACAAATAACTCCTCAGTTATGATGATTTGAAATGTAGGCTTATTGAATTACTGTACGCAGTATTTATAATGTGTGTATAGGAAGCCTGGCCAGGCATTGCTGAAATTCTCTTTTTCATTACTTGACATACATGGGCGTATATCACTGATTTCACAGCCATCCTTAGCCTAGACAGACGATAGGGTAAAGCACTGTCACTCACCTTCTCATTTTCTCACGCACACACCTTCTGCCTGTCTGTCCTATGGCTGTGCTCTGGGTGGAATCACATGTTTTTTTTAAATTGAGATGTGGAAAACTGAGAGGAGCGTTGATGAGCCTGGAGGAAGAAATGGCCGACTGCAAATATTTCTGATATCCTCTTGATCGCCCGAAATGGAATTAAGGAGCAACTCCGCCGCTGTGTCCGAAGGATTAAACTTTGATTTATTTTCCATTGTGCTTGCTTAACAAACCAATAGCTAAGTGACAATAATGGACAATTTTATTCATTTTTTCTATTGAATTCTGTGCACCAAACTGTTGGCTAGCAACTAGCAAGCTTGCAATGAAATAGGTGTGTAGCTTCTGCTCCTTCAAAATAAAATGTTGAGTCTGTGCAGGCTGTTTTTCGGACGCCGCTTTGTCATGATTTTAAGCTGTTTATGTGTTTTGGATAGACTTTTTTGACGGAGGTTTGCTTTGACACTGTTTTGTCTTAAATTTTCAATGGCTTACAAATAGCAGCAGA